AGGAAAGCGCCATTCAACAAATGTTGAGTGTTCACTCTGCCTAGCAGAAGTGTTGCCGGGATGACAAACTTGAGCGAGATACGGTCCTTTCTGTGACAGACACATAATTGTCATGTTAGTTTATATGACTTGTAAAATTATTTACTTAATTTTATTTATTATTACTGTTATTTTTAAAATAATTATTATAGGGCATATGTGCTCACCAGAGGGAGAGAGAGAGACATGCTTATAAGATATCCAGAGTGAAATGTCAAACAGAAGAGAAGTGTTGACTGTTATTCAGGTGTGAGTCATCAGCACATGGCTCTTATTAAAAGCCGTAATAGATCAGCTGATGGCTCAGCAGTGGTGACACAACACCGCGGCACTGTACCCACAGAGGAAGGATGTGGATCGCACCCTGAGACTGTCTGTTATGTGTGAGACGTGCATGTGTGTGCCTCTCATCCAGGCTGGCTGACGCTGGATCATGGTGTGAAGGCTCTGTTGGGGCGTCCTGTCTCTGTCTCTCTCATGGAAGAAATAAAAAAGTTATTTTAAAAAAAAAAAAAAAAAAAAAAACTCCACAATACATGAGATATTCATATAAGAATACCTGGAGCAGGACCAGCAGATGGGGTAATGATTATGTCACTGTAAGCCCATGTAGTCTACTGCTCTTTGAGTCACGGACTCAGTGGCTTAAAACTCATGCTGAGCACCTGAGTGTGTGTGCCCAAAATACTGAGAGGAGAATGGAGAAGGGATCGTGGCATGGCTACCCTCCTGGGGGATGATTTCTTGCTTTCGTCTCTCTCACTCTTTATCTCTACAGTGAGCACATGTGGCCTATAGTAAAAAAAATCTCTCAAGAGTACCTGAGGCTAGCAGGTGACATGGTGGTGAAGATGCTGGACTCCCACATCGCCAACTGTGGTTTGAACCCCAGACCCAATGGCTTGAAAATTATACTGAGCATGTGTGCGTGCTTGCCCCAAATCCTGAGAGGATATTGGAGGAGAAAGGATTGTGTCATAGCTGTCCCTAGTGGGATGGGGGGGGAGTGATTTCTCACTTTCTCTTTCTCTCTCTCTTTTTTTCACCAGTAAGAGCACACACCCTATGGCAAAAATTTTTAAAAAGAAATACCCATCAATACTTATTTAATTGATACCTTATTTTTAATAAATTCCAGGTTCAGATTCTTTCAAAGAAATTTAGGAAAAAATGTTTAATAAAAAGAAGGAAAACACACATACACACACATAAAACATTCTACTGTCCACAAAAAATGGGGTTAATAGTTTGGTATATTGTCTATCAGTTATTTGTCTTCATATTTTAACACATTTATAATTATTATACAAACAAGGATTCATACCATGTTCTGCTTTTTTCTTTACCTAATAAAACATTTCTCATGTTATGACTTTTCTAGAAACTAATTTTAATAGCCACAAAAAGTAGTCCATCCAGTGAATGTTTCAGTAGTTTATTTAATTAGTTCTTCATAATCCCACTTGTACTTATTTTCAGTTCTGTTCTTACGATTATGAAAACTTTTCTCAAGTATCTTTGCAAAGAGAATTTCCCACCCACAATCTATTAATTCCATATTTAGATGTTTTTTTTAAATTATAGGCAACCAAGAATTAAATATCTGGACCAGTTGTTCTGGATGTTAATAAGGCCCTTCATGACTGCTCAGGAGAAACCTTCTGCCTCCAGCACCTGAACCATTGCCTAGCATGGGAAAGACACCCAAAATGTTTATTACTTACTTATCTGTTTTCATTTCTAGGTCTCCAATTAAATAGGCCCAATTTAGAAATTATGTTGGCTGGCATAAATCGGTTAGTGCTTAAGCAAAGGAGAAGGTTGACTCAGTTCATTATTATTCATGATCTATTTATCTTGACACTCCTAGTTATCAAGTACAATGTGCTTGTCTCAGGATTATTTCGACCCACAAAAAAAGAATCTGTCATTGTTGCCAGGTCATCCATCTATCATGCACCAAACAAGCAACTAGGAGGAGAACCCCTGTGGTTCAAATACTCTTTCCTGATGTTTTAAAACTGGAAGAATATTCTCCCGGGGATACTCGCCTAGCAACCCTCTATGGCTCTCCCAGGGTAACTCTCTGCCTTTAACATTTTCAAAAACGATGTGAACGGTTTCTTTATAGTGTTCTTTAAAGCTGAAAATAAGGAGACTCTCCAGTGGTATTATTTTGACTTCCAAAGCAGGGAAAACACATCATGTTTGACCTGTAATTTTCTATTCTTTGTAGTCAATGATTGAGCTGCCATTAAAGGCAATTTAAACAACAACAATAAAGAAGAGTATTCTAAAAATGATAGTAAAGTGACATTGACATACTGAGCAAAAGTCAGGGGTTCGGTTTTGCATGTTTGCAATTAAAATGGAGGACAAAGGCGAGCAGGGCCTCAGAAGACTGAAGTTCAGGTTTTTTATCTGCTAATAGTGAACTCTGCGGTTCATGCATTGCATTTGCCTTTTTGGTATCTCAGTTTTTACATTCTCTCAGCACTGTTTACTGAGTGCACCTTTTGACCCCAACACTGGCCTACTGAGTAAAGAGTCACTGGACAAGGTAGGGATCCCTGTTGTCATTTGAGATCTCCTAGTAGGGAAACACATGCTTCAATGAGTCAATACAATCAAATGAGTGTTGATGACAAGAGAAGAGTAGGTCTTATGGGAGCAGTGAGACGTGGATGTGCCCTACAGCTGGGGAGAGAATTGCTTCTAGGAGACCATGCCAGGTAAGTGGAGCCCTGCCAGGTGATAGCATAGGGCAGTTGAGGAAAGCTCATGGAAAGGACAGTATGTGCCAAGAGTCTTGGAAGCCAGAGATAGCATAAAGGCATGTTGATGGTTCTAAAGCGAAGTGTGTTTGCAAGCGTCTGTTGCTCCAAGTTCTGTTGCACACACACCTGTGCAGACATCATGCATGTGACAGATCTCATGTTTCCTACTCACAGGAGCTGAAGGACCCTCACTGTCGGGATGAGATGGCGGCCGCTCGGGGGGCTCTGAAGAAGAATGCCACGATGCTGTACACAGCCTCCCAAGCATTTCTCCGCCACCCAGATGTTGCTGCCACAAGAGCCAACCGGGATTATGTGTTCAAACAAGTCCAGGAGGCCATTGCTGGCATCTCCAATGCAGCTCAAGCGACCTCCCCCACTGACGAAGCCAAAGGCCACACGGGCATCGGCGAGCTGGCTGCGGCTCTGAATGAGTTTGATGTAAGCCTCTGGGTGACTACACAGAGGGGCGGGCACTTATGTTGCCAAAAAATATATTGTGGGCGAAGATATTAACACTGATTTTCCCCTCATGGAGGTTTTTGATAGTAAGATGAAACTATTTGATGCATTTCTGTTATTAGGAATCTAAAATATTGGCAAAGCCTAGTTTACTCATCTTTAAAGAAACTAGCAACTTTCTTTAGAGTACCCGATCCCTTCAAAGTGAATGGAATACCTCACAGACTATTACTATTTTAGGGACAGTTCATCATTAGAATGACCATCCTTATTATTCAAGGGACAAATGTTATGAGCAGCGTGGGTATAGGTTGCCTCTATGCTGTACCTGGGTGAGAAACTGTCCTCCATGTTTTCATTTTAAATCACAGACAGAGAACCAGACTGTGGTGGAGCCACAAAATATGATGCTTGGGGGACCAGCAGTTAGCGTAATGGCTGTATTCCTGGACTCCCACGTAGTTGACCGTGGTTCGCATCCCAGACCCGGTGGCTTAAAACTCATGCTGGGCGCGTGTGTGTGGGTGCCCAAGATCCCGAGAGGAGAATGGAGGAGAAGGGATTGTGGTGTGGCCATCCCCCCGGGGGGTGATTTCTCGCTTTCTGTCTCTCTGTATCTCTCTGTCTTTCTGGCAAGCGCACGCGCCCTATAGCAAAAACCTCTCCAAAAAAAGAAGGAGAAAAAAATATATATATGATGCTTGACAAGGAACTCCCACGTCGGAAGGTTCTGGGTTTCAGACCAGATACTGCCCTAGTATGCTGGGAACATACTTACCTGGGATTCAGGACTGGTTGAAAGCTGCTGGTGTGTTATGGTATTAGAGCCCTATTGGTGGTTTGTTCTCTCTCTCTCACATGGAAGAAAGAAATTAACTGAGGGGGAAAAAAAAGTCGGTGATAAACCTCATTGTCCTCTGATCCCAAACAGCCTCCTGGTCTTCCTTGGAATGGCCCCTCTGGCAAGTTTGTGTGCTAGTTCAGGCAGGACCTCCATTCTGCACCTGCTGTTTCTGGCAGTGTGCTCCAGAGAGGGAAGTGATGAAACGATGGCTCACTGAGCTTGGCCTTTATGGAGGCATCAGAGTGACAGCCCTGCCTCCCCCAGGTCAGGATATGGGCTCACCTATGAAAAGTTGTGTTTCATTTATGCTGAGATCAGTGGGAGCCTGTGTGTTATTGAGAGAGACACCAAGATTTATAAATAATCAGTACCTGCTTTCAAGGGTCACATTCTCCTGCAGGGGAAATGAGGGAAGTGGAATGTACTAAATACCGTGTAAGTGATGAAACACGATGTTACAGGAATTCATAGGAGAAAAAATAGGTTACTTAATGGCCGTGGAGAAAGATGATGATCTTGCTTTTGGACACATTGACATGCATTTCTGGCAGGAAATGAGTAGCTGGCTGCTAGAGGAGGATCGGGAGGGTGATTGTTCAAGGCACGGAGATGGATGATATAATTGAGGAATCATTGTAACGGGATATTGGGATGGCTCTGCATTTTTCACAGGTGCCTCAAAAACTTTTTTATTCACTTAGTTTATATATATATAGATATTCGATTCAGACCACATGCCATTTCCTCAGATTTTTATAAGGGTTAAATATGATCATAAATTTAAAGTAGTTACTACAGAAATTGGGACTTTGTGGTTCATGAAATCTACTTGCCTGAGGACCATTTTGTTCATTTTTTGATGACATGTACTTGTATTCACCAAATTTGAGCAGACAACTAAAAATCCATGGAAAATAGTGAGAGTTTAATAAGGTTAATAATTATAACATTTAAAAATATATATAAATAGACGAAAGTCACTACATTCTCATACTGCAAAGAAGAAAATGAATGGAAAAAGAGGTTATGTTCACAAAATAAACAACAATGATATTTTTTTTTACTTAATTTCCTCATATATGCTAGAAAAAAAGCTGAACTTAAATGTGAAGGACTAAAAAAGAACATTATTGGGGCAAGTTTTATTCTTCGGGACATGAGACTGTAATCTGAAGTTGGAAAACTACTCACTTTATCAGTTTTTATTGTTCAGACAATCCCTATAGAAATTCTAAGAGGTTGTTTTGGAACTTGACAGTGATGATGAAAGTGTGTTTTTCTGGTCTAAAGAATAGATGAGCCCATATTTTAAGGATGAGAAAATGAGCCAGGCCATACACTCAGATTTTTTTTTTTTTTTTTTTTGAGAGAGTTTTGCTATAGGGCCCAGGTGCTCACTAGAGACACAGAGAAAGACAAAGAGACATACAGTAAGAAATCACCCCCCAGACTGGATGGCCATGCTGCAATCCCTTCTCCTTTCGGGATTTTGGGAACACAGGCACACACGCCCTGTGTGAGTTTTAAGCAGCTGAGCCTGGGACTCAAACCATAGTCAAGCACATGGGAGTCCAACAACATAACCATTACACATCTGCTGGTCCTTACACTCAGTTAATAATACTTTTTTTTTTTTGAGAGGTTTTTGGTATAGGACGCGTGCACTCGCCAGACAGAGAGAGACAGACAGAAAGTGAGAAATCACCCCCCAGGGGGGATGGCCACACCGCAATTCCTTCTCCTCCATTCTCCTCTCAGGATCTTGGGCATGCACGCACACGTGCCCGGCGTGAGTTTAAGCCACCGGGTCCGGGATGCGAACCACAGTCGACTACGTGGGAGTCCAGCGACATAGCCATTACTCTAACTGCTGGCCCCGATAATAATACATTTTATGTCTACTTTAATTTTAAAGTATGTACTAGGACAAAATGTGACTCATCAAACAATAGAAAATTACAAACAATCTACAGAATTATTTTTTTAAATGATGCTTTTAAAAGTTGGTTAATAAGGGCCATATTTTGGCACAAATACATTATTATAACCATAATTTTTTTATAATAAAAGACTAAACAATAAGGCTATTTCCATGGTGCAACAGTAATGCACTACTCAGAAGCCAGATCCCACATGCAGACTGTGGTTCGAATCCCCAGCCCAGTCAGCCTGAAACATGCCGGGCTCTGGTCTGAGTGCCCAAGATTGGGTGGGCTGGTGGGCTAGAGGAAAGCTGTGTGGCATGAATAGAACCTGTAGAGGGTGCTGCTTTCTCTTTTTAGACACTGTTATGTCCATATGCACACATATGATATATGCTACACCATGAATAAAGAAAAAATGTAAGCAATAAAACTTAAATGAAGGCATAGCAATTAAGCAGACATAGAGTGTACAGAGAATTCCCTGCATGGTAGTCTAGACACTTCAGGTGCTCCCACCTTCTGTCTAAGACCGTGATTGCTTGGTTTCCCATTTCGCTTTATTTCAAGACCATTTTCATGAACAGGCATTTTTTACCACCAGCGAATGTAGCAATTAAAACGTTACTGTTCTTGGGACCAGCAGTTAGCATAATGGCTATGTCGCTGGACTCCCATGTAATTGACCGCGGTTCGCGTGCTGGACCCGGTGGCTTAAAACTCACGCGGGGCACGTGTGCGTGCGTGCCCAAGATCCCGAGAGGAGAATGGAGGAGAAGGGATTACGACGTGGCCATCCCCCCTGGATGGTGATTTCTCACTCTCTGTCTCTCTGTCTCTCTCTGTCTGTTTGGCGAGTACATGCGCCCTATTGCAAAAAACTCTCCAAAAAAATAAAAAAATGTTACTGTTCTCTTACAAAAGACTTCGGCTTGATGAAATCCAACTTGAGATCATCTGTTGGTGAAATTTGTAAACATATTGGACTATTTCTTTTAATTATCATAATATCTTATGCTGCACAAATAAGGCTTTGGAAGGTTAGTACCTGAGTGTAGCTACCAAATGTGTTTTTTATAGAACATGGTGGATTAAGAAATTCACTAATTAATTGCATTTTTATTAATTTCACATATTGTTATTTATGCAAGTACTTCAAAAAGTTTGTGGGAAAATGAATTGAAGTATGAATTTGTTTTGATGCAAAAAATTTTTGAAATTCAAGCATAATTTTTTCATGAACTATTTGAAGACCCCAGTAGATTAATTTTTTTATAATATTGACTAAGTATAGTATACATTAAGTATTTTATCATATATAATATTAGGTAAGTGTACATTTCATTATTAAATGTTTACATCTTCTTAACTTATGTGAATTGCATAAAGCATTATATAATGTTTAAAATTTTATTTAATTATTTATTTATTTCCTTAAAGAAAGATTTTTGCTATTGGGCACTAGCATTCACCAGAGAGACAGAGACAGAAAGTAAGAAGCCACCCTCTGGTGGAATGGCTGGTCCCTAAAGTTTTATTTTTTAGGAGATTAACAAAAATAAACCTGTGGAGCATCTGAATTGCAATTCAGAAATAATATTCCCATTTGTGTGTTTCCCTAACAGTCATAATTTAATAAATGCAGTTCAATTTCAGTACTTTCTCAAAAGTATTACTGCTATTAAAATATTATTAAATTTACAACATACAAAGAGTTTTCAAAAAATTCATGGAAAATTGGGGACCAGCAGTTAGTATAATGACTATGTCGCGGGACTTCCATGTAGTCAACAACGGTTCGAGTGTCCCGGACCCGGTGGCTTAAACTCACGCCAGGCGCGTGTGCGTATGTGCCCAGGATCCCAAGAGGAGAATGGAGGAGAAGGGGTTGTGGCATGGCCACCCCCCCTGGGAGTTTATTTCTCTCTTTCTGTCTTTTTGTCTCTGTCTTTCTGGCAAGTGCACACACCCTATAGCAAAAATCTCTCCAAAAAAAGGAAGAAAATTTCATGGAAAATCTGTATTGGAAAAATACTATGCAAAGATTTCAAACAGTTTTTGCACCAAAATAAACTTCTACTTCGTTTCATTTTTTTCCAAAACCTTTTTGAAATCCCCTCATATAAAGTAAATACCAATGGTAGATTTTCCATTTTCTCTACCATCAGCATTTCTAGACAACCCTTAATGATATTTAAAACTATTTCATTAAA